TATATATATATATAAACAATCGTACTAACCATTATTACGAATAAACGAGTCATGTATGCTATAAACACTTTTGTGGATAACAAACACATTTAGGGGATATAATAAATAAACCTTCAAATCGGAAGGACATGCGGCGAATTTACTTAAATCAATACCTACAAATGCGAAATACCTTCATTTTTTCACACCACAAATTGATAATAAAAGTGTACAATTTGTCAAATCAGCCCTCACAAAATGATTAGAAGTTCTTTGTATTGAGATAAAATTTATTGAAAAGCAAGACCTCAATGATGCCTTACATGTATTTTTAAGGGTTGTATTTTTAAGAAACTTGTTGCGCATCAATAAAAAAGAGAGAGAGAGAAATTGCTTTGACAAATTGTAGTATAAATAATAATTACGTATGTTTTTTATACGCGGATACTAGAAGTGTATTATCATTATACATTACTTATTGTTATAGGGATAGACGCAATTCCTTCTGAAAAGCATTCCTGTATTGTTTATCAGCTACGTATCAACATTCCATTTGCGATGACTTGATTTTTTAATTTTTTTTTTATGTGTACACATATAGTGTGTACGACTAAACTTATTTATTTATTTAATAAAGTATATTGACAAGTCATAAAATGCTGTCGATAAAATCTTCAAATAGCCGTTTGATTTTTTCATCAAATGCTGTAAAGAACAAAAAACAAACAAAAAAAGAACAAAAACAAAAAAAAAAAACACGAAAATTGTGATACCATTCTCTGTTTTCTGCGAGTGTTATGGCATCTGCGTTAATTATAATGTGTATGTACAGAATTTCTTAATTTTACCCTGTTGGATCGAAGTGCCTAGAAAAGAACTTTAAAAATGCACTATTAACTAATGTTTGGCGTCATTATTATGTGAACGAATAAATGCTTATGGATGATACTTGTAGCGACTTATTGGGCCCAATTTGATTACGGTTCACTTAATCATACATCGCTTTTATACTGTGATGCCAAACTATTTTTTTTTTTTTTTAATTTGTACTAAATATGTTTTGTTTGCGCAAATATGTTTTGGCCACTAGTCCGGCACAGCCGGCAGTCCAATGATTATCATATTATTTACGCTCACATTTTTGGCGTGCAGCTTATTCTTGTTAGAAAGAGAAAAGAAAAAGCGGTCGACTCGTAATTTAAAAGTGCGTGTACATAAAAAATACCTAGCGATTAATTTCGAAAAACATATCCGAGTATAAGAAAATGAAGCCAGTGTTTGGACCCGATGATGAATTCGGCATTGAATTCATCGATACAGTGAAAAGAAATGTATATGAGTTATTGTTATATGATAGTGCAAAATTATCGCAGCTTCAGAAGCTACCGTTTGCGTTAGTGGATGCAATAAGTACTTGGATTGGATTTTAGAAAAAAAAACTGGATTAACGCTGAAATAAAAGCAAGATTACTTGTATCGCTAGAAAAAAAAAAAAATTAATCGTCAATTTCAACTGTGTAACTTACTTGCGAGTTCACTGCACGAGTTTGATGATGAATTTCAACACATTTGGAATAATAATAACTTTTGCCCGCAAAACGTGTGTCTACCGAGCGCTGCTACATAAATCGTTTTACATCGTATTTTTTTATTCGTTTGTTTATTTTGACAGTTGTGCAGCTGACGAAATGGATAAACAAAAATGAAAATAGTTCACACGACAATAAGATATTGGTTAGTCGAAGAAGAAAATGTACAATACAAATGTATGCATTACTATATCGTATCACGAGATTTATCGTGTACTAATTGTTAATAAATAAATGAACAAAAACTTAAAATAGAAGAAAAAAAAATCAGAGTAACAACTGGGAAAGAGCAAATCGATTATAAAAGTTGCTGCAGAGTTACAAGAGTTAAAAACAAGACGATATGTTACCTGATGATGTAAAGAAAACAAGTACGAAAAAAGCGCTAAGGGCTTATATATACCTATAAATAGGTTGATGAGAAAAGCGTGCGAGGCGTTCTGTCCGTATTTGTGGTAGTATAAAAAAGTATAGTAGTCGAATTAACGACGAGTCATATAAAGACCAAATTATTATTATTATTATTATTATTTCTATGCAATGTGCTGCTATATTATATGGTGCCCACGAATTGCACTTTTACTTGCGCGTACAAGTATTCACGGTACTTGCGGGTAAACACATATATACATACAAACGGTGTCCTCTTGACGATTTTTAAAATTTTTATTTCTTACAACTCACTCGCTCACTTGGTCAAGTTATACTTATGTAAATCCACCTTACGCGCGTAAGCTGGTCGAATAAATTACACTTCGGACGTTTTATTCATTTGCTTTTTTTTTTTTTTTTTTTTTCTTCGTGTGATACGAAAATTGGTTTTTTCGCTTCAGAAGTAAACAAAAACAAAAGCACACGGTTACGATTGAAATTGTTGCTTCGTCTCAGCCAGCTCAATGTATACAGTACAAAGTAAACATATTTATGATAATAATAATAGTAATACGATTGACAAAGATGATAATGATAATAATAATAATAATAATAATAAAAAAACAGTACATAATTAAATTTAACGAAGTACATCTACTTTGCACGATAGCTGTTCTTTCACAATACATAATATGATGTACCTTTCGTAGACTACGTATATATGTACATACGTATGCATAATTACATAAACGTATATTTGGAATTTTTGGCTCGTAATAATTATACCATATACTTGTACAGACACACATACTTACAAACATACAGAAAACAGAATGTANGCAAACCTCTCGGTTCGCAAACAAAGACTTTTCAAACTCGTAGGAAAACTACTATTTCGCAATAGTGTGCGGAAAATGGGTGGCAAAGGTTTTTGTCGCACAGTGTGTGGAAAAAGTGTGCGGCAAAGGATTTTGCCACACACCGGAAAAAATTCTGCTACACACTGGAAATCAAAATTCATACCTATTTTGTACCTATTTTCCTCACACATTGCAAAAAAACTTGTACGCAACTCGTGCGGGACGATTTCCCGCACTCGTGTGATAGACTCGCACTCGTGGCCGGTGATGGTAACTCGTACCTTGCGATCACACTCGTGCTACGCACTCGTGTGCTCAACTGGTAATCGTTCCCGTCAACTCCGGCCACTCGTGTGAGTCAATCACTACTCGTGCGGGAAATCGTCTTTTCCGCACTTGTTACGTAAATAACTATTTCGCAATTGTGTGCGGAAAATAGGTGTTTTCTGCACCACTTTTAGTGTGGAAAATCGATTTTCCCGCATAGTGTGCGGAAAAGGTGTGCAGCAAAGGTTTTTAAACACACTGAAAAAAATTTTGCTATACACCAGAAATCTCTCGGAAAACGAATTAAGATACCTTCTGTGTACAACTATCGTAACTCTATCTGGTGTAAGTTTCTACTCTCAAATAAAATTCCTTCTTAATGAGTTTTTTTGACAAGTCCATTAAACTATTTCATATTAAAATTTAAAAAAATTTCGTTGGGAACCACAATCCCATTGTGTTGGTGTGGGATCCTTTAACATAATTTGTTACAGTTGTAAAATTCTTTGAAAATGTTTTTGTTTAAATAATTCAAAGTTTACTTTTTAAAATAAAATTTTAATTTAATTAAATTTCTATTTCCATATTTGGGCATAAAAACACTTTTTTTTTGGACGATCTTTTGGTACTTTTGCAGTCGTGCTACGCACTCGTGTGCTCAACTGACACTCGTTCCTGTCAACTCCAGCCACTTGTGCGAGTCAATCGTGACTCGTGCGGGAAATCGTCTTTTCCGCACTTGTTACGTAAATAACTATTACAAAATATTGTAATCAAATATAATCAAAAAATGAAACACTAATTATTTTTTTAAATAAAAATTCCAGTCTCTCTGCAATCACTAACTTTAAGGGTAGAACTTGAATTATGTATATTCAATTAACTGTTATGGAATGTTTACAGCATCAAATTTAATTACATTCCAATATAAATAAATTTTTTATGACTTAGTCTAAGAGAGTGATATTTTTAAGAGCATCTTGCTCCAGGATCTCGAATACAGCCATTGTGCCAATATTCCAATGTACAGCGATACCACCATCAATGACGAGTTCACCGTCAGAGCATTGAGAGCGCACAGATATCGTATTGCAAAAACCACGAGGAAGTAAACAGTCTGATGATGGCCAAACTTGATTAATTATCATATCGCGAATGACGTAGCTAAGTATTGGCTGTTCTAAAATAGAAAAAATTCAACGATGTAGCGTTTGACTCGAAATTAGTGAGCATCTGCACTTACCTGCAGGATATTGAAGTTGAGCATTGAAATCGGAGCAAATTTTTTTCACGTCTTCACTGCTGTAATTATCTTTGCAGCCAGCCATTCGCAATACATCTTCAACTGTTTGGGGATTTAAATAGTTGATTGCTCTGTACCATGAGCTAGAGCCTGTACCGGTGGTTATGCACATTCCAGAACATTTGACTTTCTGAATATTTTCATTGCCAAGATGTATGTGTAAAATACTTATCTTCGCTGACAAGGACTCTCCAATGAAAACCTGTGATTAGTATGTAAATTTAATTGTCAACAGTGAGAAAAGAAAAGACGAATAAATGATAAAATACTTCATTTAACGCCAGCCAAGGTAAATGCCTACTTTTGGGTAGATCTCCCTTTGGTTTTATTAAGTTGTGATGAGATTCATAAAATCTAAAAAAATATCAACAATTAATTTAAAACTACGATAGATTCTACTACAATGAGTTTTAACCAAGTATTATTTGTACTTTTCTTGAGGGCTAGATGAATTTTTGTCATGTAAGTGAAAAGGCACCTGCCATATGTCCTCTCCGTGTAGAGTTGTTCTGATTCTGCTTCTCATAAGATGTTTAAAGTGTCCAGATTTGAGTTTTTCAAATATTTCATCAATTAAATTTGTGTACTTTGATGGCAACATTAAAAATCCTTCTGAGAATTCGGGATCAGAGTTAATACCTATTATTGGCTTGGTATTGTTCCTAATCAAATTAGAAGCCATAAGAAATGTGCCATCACCTCCAATAGGTAAAATTAAGTCTGCCCATGCAATAATGTCGACATCTACATTATACCTACGATTTAATATAATGTAAGTTACATATTAAGAAAAAATGTACAAAAAATTTGCAATAGTAAATACTCACCTGTTTCTTATTTTAAAGCTAATGTCGAGGTCAGCTAATGCTTTGACAACTCTCAGCTCAGTTTCTTTGGTTCGATAGTGAACAGCTTTAATAGCATCATAATTAGCACCTCCAGAAACAAGTTTGTGTTTCAATTCACTTTCATTTAATTGAGGATTGGAATTTTTTTCAATCTGATATCTTGAAATTTTTTTAAAAATGAGAACGCGTTTTGGTACAAAACTTGACTCATGGCATTGAAAAAATGCACATGCAGACTGTAACTTGAATAACTGCTGAGTTCCTTTACAGATATGAAATAAACTTTATTTTACAGATGCTTATAGATATAAGTAAATACAAAATTGCATGATGTGAAATATCAGAAAGTAATAAGCAAGGCTATTTACCCTTGCTAAGGCCATAGCTATGAGATAAATGGATTTGGAAGGGCATATATATATTGACACCTACTCACCAGAAGATCCTCTTCGAAGATGAGCTAAGGCTGTCATGGTTATAAGTATTGTTTTTGTTATAATGTATCACATGTCACAAACTGCAAGTACTACTTCAAGTTGTACCAAACAGTGCGAGTAGTTAAATCTAAGAAATTGCTCATTTGAGAGCGCATATTGTGAGACTTTTATTGTTTACTTTTTTATCTTTTTTATAAATACCCTAGAACTTACATGAAAGTAAGAACATGACTTTCAAAGGAAACTTTGAAAAGCTTAACCTCGAAATATTTGCACTTAATCCTGCAGTTTGCTTGCATTTGAACCACTTTGTTGATTTGTGTCTTTTTTTATAAATAATATACGTCAAGATCATAAATAATCGGGTTCTAATCAGATCAACAGCAAAAGTGCGGTAAATAAAAATTCATTGCATAAGTTCAATCGCCTCACTCTATGAGACTCGGAGGGTAAGTACCTAATTCGTCAATTTGGAGTCTGACCGCGCGTCTTTGATGTTGCGCAATTCCATCACCAGAGGAACACCAAGTGATGGTATGTACCTAAATAAAGCAAAGTGTGTATAATTTAACGAACTTTGAAAGGATCGAGCGAGGAGGAATGAGAATCATGTAAAGATAAAGCCAGTTTTATGTATTACGTTTACATTTATTTTATTAATAAGTCTGTTGTTGAAATAGCAATAAAGGCCTACCCGCTTCTGCGCATCAAATTTTTTTTTCTTTATTTCGTTACTTTTGTTTTTTTCTCGTAAAGCATTTATTAATCGTTTATTTACTTATTAATTTTTTCATTTGTTTTTTCAATGAAAGTTTTACTTTTTTGAAAAATAAATTTCTCGTTCTTTTATCATTGGTACATACACGCAATGTTAAATCATATGTTGTTCGTGTCAATTAAATGCTTCGCATAATACAACGTTATACTTCTTACAACCGAAAAGACTTTTTACGAAAAATAAATAAATACGTAACATATGCCTACGAAAAGCGTAAATTGAGAAAAAAACCTTATTTGCTACTTCAATTAAATATGCGTTTTTAAATATAAAAATACTCAATACGATTGCCTTATTGTTTTTAGCGTTTTTACGGTCGAAACAAAATTTATACGTAATTGCAACAAAGTTCCAACTTTCAGCAAACAAATTCATCTTTTTTTTTCTCTTTTTTGTATTCATCACTTTTAGTTAGTCGACTCTTTTTTCTAGTGAGGTCAAATGTTTACACATCTAACATTACATCAACCACGTAAAAAACCATTTATTTCACGGTTTTCAGCTAACTTGTGTAGCAAAAACTTTACAAAATTTACAAATCACATACAAGCTTGAAATAATTTTAATTTTCAATCGTTTCTATTGACAAAGCAATGTACAAGAAAAAAATCATAAACTGATTAAACTATTAAAGATAATAATGCTGCATTTATACAGTTAATCTAAAGTACGTTTAAATTATTTGCACCCTTTAAAATGCCACTTCTTGTTGAATAATTTAATTGCAATAGTGACGGTTTCAGATCAAATATTAAAAATTTTATAAAACTGTAAACTACACATTAAAGCGAGTATTGAATTTTTATTTGTGCTTTCTTACACAATTTTGTTCATCTATTTTATTCAAAGAAATTATTTTTAATAAGTCATCCACAGTCGCAATACTATACAAGCTAATAATTTTTTATCAATATGTACAACTGCAATCATCTTTTTAATTGCAAATTATTCTTGCTATTCTAGGGTTCATCAAAAGGGCACATTTCCACTCATTTTCACATTATTACATTATTTTATGTAAGACCTCAATTCTCACAAATACTGACAATTTTTTTTTTACCTGCATTAAAAAATTTCTATAAGGTATTATTATACATTTGTTTGCTATGTACAACACAATTTTTTTTTACAGTATTGCTCAAACGTGTAAATAAAAAATGACAGACGGATGAAATTTCGTTATATTTCCTTCTTAGTAGTAGTATACTATAATTTAAATCATGTGTCAGTTCACACTTTATTGATTTAAAAATATTTTACAATATTTATAGGTATTTGTTCATTTACATTAACATTCGATCTGCATATCTATATTCCTCTCATCTCGAAAATATAATCATAAGAGTAATAACAATATTGATTTTATTACAAGAGGGCAAATTATCCTAGACTTGTAGAGCCAGAATTTTTCCATATAAGTACGTTAATAATGTTTTTGTATAATACTTTTTATAACATTTAAACAAAGTATTCCTCGAGGATTTCGGTTTTCCGAAAAAATCTTATGTATACACAAAAAAGATAATGTTTAATAACAGTTTCATAAAAAAAAGCCCTTGAGATATTCTACAAAACTTTTTTTTTATTGAAAATTTAAATAATATGTTTGTTGTCCATCACATTGATTTACACGCGTTTAAATTAATATTTCAAAATGAAAACTAAGGAATTCATGATATTAAAATACTGAGAAAGAGATAAATCATTAAATATTCATAAGTAATTTATTCAAATAATGAGTATTTATAATGACAATTGTTTTTTTTTTTT